CAATAATGCAAGCACCCTGCAAGGCTGGAAGCCATAGGGCTGATCATGGGTTTGGATCCCTGGATGGGCTTCAAAACTCACCAGGAGCATGTGAGGCACCCAGCATCCTGAGGAGCTGGAGAGCTGAGGATAAGGGACCGTGTCATGCAGACACCCTGTTGGGGGTGCTTCTTTCTTTCATGCAAGTGCACACACTCTTTATTGTTAAAGAAAGAAGGGAAGGATGGAAAGAAGAAAAATAACACTGGAGGACTTTCTACTTGGTATTCATAACGCTCCATTATAAGCATATTAGGATGTAAAGAGGCAGTGGAACATTTCTGCATGCTTCTTAGCAAAAATAATTTTTTAAACATTTGTTGGTCCTTTTTTTTTGGAGAGGTTTTTGCTATAAGGGCATGTGTGCTTGCCAGAGAGAGAGATGGAAAGCAAGAAATCACCCCCCAGGGGGGATGGCCACGCTGCATTCCCTTCTCCTCCATTCTCCTCTCAAGATCTTGGGCACACAGGCACACACGCCCGGCATGAGTTTAGGCTACCGGGTCCGGGACTCGAACCATGGTCGACTCCGTAGAAGTCCAACGACATAGCCATTACACCAACTGCTCGTCCCGATCCAATTTTTTGAAACAGGTTTTTGCTGAAATGAACACGAATTTCAGTGGCTTGAAGCCTGTGTGGAAGAGAAGGCCAATCTCTTGGGGTATGAGTTTGAGTTACACCTGAAGAATGCTCAGAACAGCACAGAGACTGCTTATGGACCAGTGCATCGGAAGGAGCTACAGGGGCCTTGGGTGAGGAGACCTGCACGGCTCAAGCTTGTGAGAGAAGATTCTCTAACCAGAGGTGAGGCCTTGCTGGCAGTTTGGGTGTTAAAAGCCAGGCTGGGAGGCTGACAGGTGGTATGGTGCTTAAGTGTGCTAGACTCCCACATGGCCGACCATAGTTTGAGTCCTGGACCTGGTGGCTTGCTTTCTCACTTTCCCTCTCTCTGTCCTTCTCCAGTCAAATTAAAAATAAATAAATAAAATTAAGTAAAATAATTATTAAAAAAAAAAAAGCCAGGCTGGAATTACTAAATTACTCCTTCCTCTAACTCTGGGGTTGGGGGACTAGGCTGTACCTAAGCAGACCCACCTTCCTACCTGTGACTGTATGTGCCAGAGTGACTCGGGCAGGCCTCTGCTCTACGCTATAAAGAAACAATTAGCACAGTTAATGGCCCATAATTTGTTATATCTGTATTCTATCCCCAAGGGGTCCTTTCTAAATTATTACCCAAGAAGAAACATAAAACTACACATAAAACTGTGTCTTTCACAGAAACAGAGGAAGCGAGCGCTTTCTTGTGTTACCTCCCAATGATTAAAGCAGCGTGCCTTCCAGGTTGGAAATGAGGCTGGGAAAGACGGCCATGCACTGGCTCACATCATCACGATGTGAACTCGCACACCAGACCAGCTGCAGAATTTGTGGAGCCCAGTGTAAATGGGAATGTGGGGCTTCTTGCTAAATAAGTGAAGAATTTCAAGGCTGCAACAAAGGAGCATTAAGCCAAAGGCAGGGTTCTGAGCACGAGGCCCTGTGTGGGTGCAAACGCACAACCATGAAGCCATCCCTGCACAGATTGAATGGTCTGTGACCGAAAAGACAGGAGGCTCTACCCTGTAGCACTCAGGCAGGGGAGCAGAGAGCCTCTGCGGACAAGGGGAGTCTGGGAAAGACCAGGAAAAGGCATGGGATGGCCAGAGCGCTGCTTCTGAGGTGGTGGGTGGCGGGGCCAAGGAGAATGTCTTCCTAGTGGTCCTCCTGGCCCACATCTGCTCAGGGGTTGGATATCTGAGGGCCCAAGGATCACACCAGCCAATAGACATGAGGACACCTGAAGGAAGAGGTGACGAAGGGTCAGAGAACGCTGGGATTGAAGGACAGGTGGGCACAGAGCAGGAGGGCCAGGCATGCCGTTACCCCCGATTTGTCTTCATTTAGCCAACTTTTCTTTTTAACTGAAATACAGTGTGCCAAATTTAGATGATTTCTCCTCTCCAAACCTGTTCCTGCCTTTTCCCCATCTTGGCAGTGTGGACCCCTGCTCACCTTGTTGGCGGAGGCAGAAGCTGGGCATCATTTTGATTGATCCTCCCCAAGTCCCATCACATCTCCTGTCAGTGTCTCTCAAGTCCACACACTCACTTCACTCCGCGATCACTAAGGCCACTGTCCTTCCTGGACATGACTGTGACAACAGCCTCCTCACTCACTGACTTTTGAATCACACAGACTGAGGTTTAAGTCCTCACGTGTTTGCTGGATCACCTTGGGAGGTGGTTCTTCACCTCTCTGAGCCTCACTCAGTTTCCTAATATGTGAAATGGGAAAAACAACAAAACCTATTTTAAAGGGCTTGCTCTCAGGAATAACTGAAATGACGCAAGTGGCTCAGCATCTTTCCTCTTTATCTTTCAGGCTCACACGTGGTGTCCTCAGGGGCCCCTTTCCTGGCTTGCTCAGTGCAGGTTCCCACAGGCCGCCAGACTGCTCTGCAGCATTCTCCCTATGCATCTGCCTTCTCAACAGTCCTCTCCATGAGGGTCCTGGCTTCCTCCACCCAGCAGGGCTCCTGCAATGGAGTGGGCACCCACACTTACATGACTGTGTCCTCCTACATCATCCAAGGCCACTGTGAGGCACGGGGCCACCGTTACAGCCCTCAACTGTAAGGAGTGAGCATGTGATCACCTCACATGAATACACGCCCGACCAAGACCAGCCCACCAGATAGTAAATTACACCTAGGGTGCTGGGCGGCCATCATAGCAGATCCCTTCTGAAAGAAACAGACTCGGGGCCGGTGAGACCACGCAGGGCAGGCCTGACAGCAGCTAGGAAACTAGATGCTCCAGGTCAACACAACCGACCCTGTAGAGCCAAACAACGCTGAGGCATACATACACCCCTCAAGAGAAGGAGCTAACACAGGACTCCCTGGCTCACTAGAAGCCACCTGAACAGCTAAGCCACTCCTATGTCTTTAGGCCCTGGTGCTCCCCACCCAGTGTTCCCACCAAGGCCAACTGGATGAGGTGTGCACGCTAGGGAGTCAGTGCCCTGAGAAGTCCAAGTCAAAGGTTGGCAAGGGCTCTGTTTTTAACTTTGTCAAAGTTACACGTACAATGGCACATAGAGGGACCAGCAGTTGGCGTAGTGGCTATGTCGCTGGATCCCACATAGTCGACTGCAGTTTGAGTCCTGGACCTGGTGGCTTAAACTCATGCCAGGCATGTGTGCATGTCCAAGATCCCAAAAGAAGAACAGAGAAGAGATTGTGGCATGGCCATCCCCCCCAGGCAGGGGAGGGGGTTGATTTCTTGCTTTCTGTCTCTGTCTGGTGAGCGCACAAGCCCTATAGCAAAAACCTCTCCAAAAAAATAAGGCACACAGAATCTGGCTGCACAGGCTGATCCATTACATGTCAGCATCCATGACACCTGCCACCCCAGTCAGGATCTGGGGTATCACTAGCTCCCTGCACACTCCACACAGCCTCCTAACCAGCTCGCTCTCCACTCGCTTAGGGCGACTAGGGCCTCAGATTTGCAGATATCATGTCCTCATACCTAAAGAGCAGTTTTGTTTTTCCTTTTTTTTTTTTTTTTTTTTTTGTCATAGGGTATGTACACTCACAGGGGAGGTGGGGAGGAAGCAAGAAGTCACCTCCAATGGTGCATAGTCATGCTGCAGTCCCTTCTCCTCTTGGACTTTTGGGCATGTGCACACACGTATGCATGCACACACACCCCCAGCATGTTTCTCAAGCTGTTGGTTAAAGGACTCAAACTGTTCAATCAGTCATGTGGGATCAGCCACCCTAATCACCATGCTACTAGCTTGCCCTGAACATCTTAAGAATGGAACCATATAGCACATAGTTTTATTATTTTTTTCTACTCAGTAGCTTGTGAGATTTGTCCATGCAGGTGTATGTAACCAGCTCATTCCCTCATTGCTGCTATAGTCTGTGGCTGAATATTTCACAGGTATTTATCCCTTGTCCTGCTGAGGTACAGTCATGCTCTTTCTGGCTTGGGGATTTTCCATGCTTTCCTGTGTGGCTGTTCTGGAGACCTGTAGAGGCTGTAGGAGTTTGGAGGTGGAAGGGCATGGAGGGGAAAAAATGGGAGCAACTTTGGGCATGGGGTATGGGGCAGATGGGAGAGAACCCAGGGCCAAGTAGGGCTGGCAAGGTGCAGAGGAGCTGAGCTGAGAGGACCACAGAGGAAAGGGTGTGGAGGGTCCAGCTGATGTTTGCATTTGCCTGGCTGGAGGGGTGCACTGCTTCCCAGGCCATAGTCAGGAAGTTTGGCAGGCATGGGTACAATCCTTCCACCCTCTGGACATGCTACCTTACCCCACTTCTCTGATCCCTGGGGGGTGCAGGCCAGCTGTGTACCTAGAGAGGCCTTGTGAAGCAGCTTACTGCAAAGTATGGTCCTTGAATACAGGAAAGGCCACAAATTGGTCAAGGAGTCACCCTCTCTGCCTTTCCAGTCGCCCAGCATGGGCATATGTCAAGAGATTTGCATTTGGTAAGTTTGGGGGTCAAACGCTGTCCCCACATGGAGGTAAGGCAGCCGGAGCCCTGAAGGGCATAGCAGTGACCCACACTGCTGGTTACAACTAGCCCAGACCCCACCTGTGCTGGAAACGAAGCTGCCCTAAGGTGCCCCTCTCTTGGAGACTTCCATGGCCCAAGATAGAGCTCCCCACCCTTGCTGGAAAATCTGTCCAGGCAACTCTGCCCTGGAATTTCATGTTAGGGACTGTCTTGGCTAGAGATGGCAGGAGTCTCTCCCACCCAGTGAAGACCTATTTCCCTTTTCTCTGGCAGATACAGGGAGAAGGGGCCCTTGCCTTGGGGCCAGCAGGATTCCTGCAGCCTCCCATGGCACACGCTGGAAAAAGCAGGTAAGGTGTGGGGACCAGTCACAGGGGGTGCTCACCTGCGAGCTGTGGCAGGATGCCACCCCGTGCCATAGAGCAGCCAGACGTAAACCTTGGCCTACTTCCTCGCTGCATCCTCACCAGCCGAGAGATCAGATGAAAGTCCTGCCAATGAGAAATTAAACAGAGCAAGTGTCTCAGGACACCCCTAACCAATGAAAGAAGCTAGGACAGGGGTCAGGGCTCTGTCTGTGGGCACACACTGAGCTCCAGCTTCATCAGGCTGAGGTTGTCTCAACCCCATGAAGGAACTGGTGTCTGCTGCAAATTGATCTCAAATGCGGATTTGTCTCTGCATTAGACACGGAAGTCGCAGTCGAACAGGGGAGCTCCTCAGAAACAAAGCCAGTCTTAGTGAGCAGCTGAGTCCTTGCAATGTTGCCTGCCTCATGCATAATTTAGTACAGTTCTGAGTTTCGGAAAGAAATGGTCCTTAGTAAATTCAGGGTAATAACACTCATACTTTAAAATGCAGTGTCACTTTGAAATCGCTCTTGAACCCATCTCTATGCTGGTTAGGCCTCTTACTGCTCTTCCTTCCTGGCCTTCCCGTCTCCCAGTGCCCTTCTCCCAGCTGGCGCCCACTCAGGAGAAATTGGAGAGCACAGTGGTTAAGAATGTGACCCTGGAGGCAGAGGGCCCAGATTCGAATGCCTTGGGCAAGTGCTACTGACACTGGTGCCTTAGTTTCAAATGAGCTAATGGTACCCGCCTCACCGGGATGTGGAATGTACTTACACCCCGCCTGGCCCATAATAAATCTCAATGATTATCTTGTTCAATTCTCTGTTTTGGAAATCTCAAATAGCTGTAGAATTGAGGCCAGCCTTTGGCCTGAGATAGGAGACTTTTCTTTTTTAAGAGAGATTTTTTTTTGCTATAGAGTGTGTGTGCTCACTCAAGAGAGAAAAGGCAAGAAATTACCCCTCGGGGGAATGGTCACGCCACAATTCCTTCTCCATCCTCCTCTTGGGATTTTGGGCACACATGCACCCACACACATCTGGCGCGAGTTTCAAGCAGCCAAGTCCGGGACTTGAACCATGTGGGCCAGTTGGGAGTCTAGTTCCTTAACCACCATGCCACCTGTTGGTCCCCACTATAGACTTAAAATTGCCATGGGACTCATACATTAGCCATGAGCACCCTCAATGAGGTACTATAATGCTGTCATCCTTTTTTCTCCACGTTTCCATCCTGCTAGAATTTGGGGCATGCACGTACAATGTGCCCAGCATGCTTTTGAAGCTGCTGGACTGGGATTTGAACTATAGTCAGCCATTTATCACTTCCCTCACTTTCTCCCTGTTTCCCTCCAGCAAGTTGAGAGTAAAAAATAGAAGTACAAGTTTATTTTGGTGCAAAAAGTTTGAAATCCATGTATAGTTTTTTCATAATATGCATTTTCCACTAACTTTATTTTGAAGACCCCCTTATTTCAAAACATGTTGTTCATGATGTGTGCAATTTTTTAAAAAAACATTTTTAAAAGATATATTAGTTTCATTTTGCAAGATAAAATTCTGATCAAACATTTTTCACAATTTAGTACACAAAACTCTGACCTCTGATTTTTTTTGAGAGAGAGACTTTAGCTATAGGGCTTGTGCACTCGCTAGAAAGACAGGAGACAGAGACGCAGAAAGCGAGAAATCACCCCCCAGGGGGATGGTCACACCGCAATCCCTTCTTCTTTCTCCTCTCAGGATCTTGGGCATGCACGCATACGTACCAGGCGTGAGTTTAAACCACCGGGTCCAGGACTTGAACCATGGTCGACTACATGGGGGTCCAGTGAAATAGTCATTATGCCAACTGCTGGTCCCGTGATCTCTTATTTAAGGGGGTTGATATTTTTAAAGAATTATTTAACTTTGGGATCAGCAGGTGGCATGGTGGTTAAGGTGCTGGACACTCCCACATGGCCAACCACGGTTCAAGTCCTGGACCTACTGGCTTGCTTTCTCACTTTATCTCTATCTCTATATGGTCAAATTAAAATAAATTAATGAATAAATAAAATGAAATAAGTCTTAAAAAAAGAATTATTTAACTTTATTTTTAATTTGATCAGAGAGGGACAGAGCAAGAGAAGGAGGGAAAGTGAGAAAACAAGCTGCCAGGTCTGGGACTTGAATGGCGGTCTTCCAAGAGTCCAGCACCCTTAACCACCACACTGTCTACTGAACCCTAAATGGGTTGATTCTAAGACACTTTTCCAGGTCCAACTTCTTCGGGTATGAGTCTTTGAGTACATTTGTCTGCTTGGTCTTGGGGCAGGGCAATAGTACATGGATGGTCTCTGGGGACATCTGAGCTCAGTCGGTGGGCAGCATGAGCAAAGTGAGGAGGAAGGGGCAGTGAAGCAGAGACCATGTAGATCTGGCCACCCTTTCTAGGCGTTTCACAATGATGGGAAGATAAAAGATAGGGTACTTGCTTTTCAGCGGGGGATTCAGACAGCTTTAGGGGTAGGGGAAGGAGCCAATCAAACAAGATCGAAATAAAGTGGTTGAAGGCAAGATGGGTGTAAAAAGCCCCATACCATCTACTCTGGCTACTGTCATCTTTGTCATTTACTGAACAATTTCTGTACCCATCCCCCAAAATGTTAAGAATCTCCGATGGAAAAGTCTATCATGGCTTGACTAGTCTTGAGCAAATACAGAAAGTGAGTAGTTCCACAGTATTTTAAAAACAAAACAAAGCCAGTTGGTGGCATGGTGGTTGAGGTGGCTAGATCCCATATGGCCAACTATGTGGTTTGAGTCCTGGACCTGGCAGCTTGAGGACCATGCCAGGCATGCATGTGCTTATGCTCTGAGAATGGAGAGAGGACCGAGGTGTAGCCATCTCCCTGGGACGTGCTTTCTCACTCTCCTTCATTCTCTTCCTCTCTCCAGTAGAGTGCATGTGCTCTGTAGCAAATTAAAAAATGAGAAAAAAGGGGCCGGCAGGTGGCGTGGTGGTTGAGAGCGCTGGATTCCCACATGGCTGACCATGGTTCAAGTCCCAGACCTGGCGGCCTGCTTTCTCACTTTCCCTTTCTCTGTCTCATCCTGTCCCTCTCTGGTCAAATTTAAATAAAGAATTAAAGTTAAATTAAAAAAGAATGGGAAAAGACCCAAGACAATCCTTAAAAGTATTAAATCAGTTACCACTAGGAAGTGTAATAGTATAAACCTTTGTATTAAGTTTATGTTAATGAACAGCTTAATTTTAAAGTCCAAAACCCTGTTGGATAATCCCACAGTAGAACTTTCTGTGAAAACAGCCCGTAAATGCGTCTGTAAGCTGAGACGTTCACACTCTGTGTTACTGAAAGCCCCTGACTGTCCTAGAGCCTCCTTTTGCCCTACTCCTCACCAGAGCAGGAGCACTTCCTGCAATGCTGTGAACCAGGGGCCTGGCCTGTACCCACTTCAGCCAACTCAGAATGGGCAGGAAAAGAAATGGGGTATACCTCCTTTCCAGAACACCTGAATTTCTTTGGGCCCACTCAGCAATGGAGTCTCCAGCCAGTGCCTGCAGGACAGCTTCTCGGGCAGCTCAGCTTCCCTGAGGTGGCTGTGTGGGTCTGCTTGCTCACTGAGCACACGCATGGGTGTCCAGGGCCTCCAAGGCTGGTGTGAGTGGGTGCTTCACATTAGAATCTTTGAGTATTTGACAAGATAAAGTGGGGGAAAAACATTCCTGATAAGTTGTTCTTGTCTCTGTCCCTACAAAGCTTCCAGGATGTGGGCACAGCAGGGAGCAGGGAAGCCCTGCACTGAGGTCTTCCTTTCCCACACTCAGGGTGCAGCACTGCTGGAACCAGTCTTAGCCCCAGCTCCACAAGGAGACCTTGCTGTGGCTGAGGAGCATCCTGTCCGTGGAGAGGTGCTAGCTCAGGCCCTAGTCAGGGCTCCCTCTCAGCTCCTCTGCAGATGGATAATCCAAGAGCCAAGGGTGTGAGGAGACAGTGGCAGTCGTCGTCCTCCTCCCCATGCAACCCAATGGCAGATCCCCCCAGGTTGAGGTGCAGGGAGCTCCAACACTCAGCCCTCCTCTTGCGGCAGCACACTCACATCTCCTAGCTGGCAGTCTCGGGGGCAGCAACTATGGCCAAGTCAGAAGAAAAACGAGAACAGAAAAGGTCATGTCACCCGAGGGGTCGGGATGGAGGGGAGGGGCGGGGGCAGGTTGCCTCCCAAGGGCTGGCAGGGATTTCTGAAGTGGGGAGCTGCCCCAGTACCAAGCTGCTGGCTGGTACCAGTGCTTCTGAGGACTTGAAGAACCTCCAGTTCTAGAGGTTTATCTTCTGACAAAATAGTGGGACAACCATTTGCCACTAACTCTGTTTTTCCACTTTGAAGACGCAGCCTTAAATATGTTCAGCAACCTCAGGCTCCATGGGCGTCAGCTGGTAGGAAGGGCTACCTGAATGCAAGGGCTCCACTTCCTCTCCCAGCCTCAGGCTCTGGGTTCTTACAGGGACCTGATGAAACCGGAGTGCAGGTGGGGCCCAGGCCTCTGGCTCCATCTCCCCACCTCGGCCTGGAGCGCTCCTCCAGTTCTTAGGGCTCACCTTTAGTCATGAACCTCAAACTCTTCAGTTGTTCAGCCAAGTGAGGCCGCAGCGGTCTCCACAGGATCGCGGCCACTATGCCAGGCCTGTTCTTGGATGCCGCCTCGGCCCTGGCAAGCTGCTCCTCTCAGCACCCTTCCCGTGGCCTTTACCTGATTCTAAAGCATCAGCAAACATGCAGACCTGCCGTTGTTAAAAAAGGGTTTTAATTCCTTAATAAAATGGACTTTAGTTTGTCTTTGGATAGGATACACTTGCAATTTAGTGCAAAACTCAATTAACTTGGAATGCTTCCAAGTTAAAATTTCACCCCTTTAAGGGGAAAGCAGCCAGGGCAGGGTCTAGTCCATCTGTGAGGAGAGTAAGTGTGGCCCGGCTCTGAAAAGCCTGAGAACCTCTGGCAGCCAGTCAGAAATGCCACCCTCATTCCAGGGGCCAGTGGGGAGGGAAGCATTTACTCCATACCACCTTGCGAGCCCTCATAGATGCCAGGTGCTCTGTAGATGAGGAGAGGGCTCAGAGTTCTTCATGCCCTTGG